CATATCATCACAGCCAGATAAATTTGGTTAAAACTTTCAAATCATAGGTGATTTGGATATCAGATAAGTATGTTGATTGAAAAAAGGCTAAATCAAAACATGAAGGAGAAAAATTGTAGAGCATGCAGAGGTAAGACTTTACGGAATCATGTTAAAATAAGTGTGTTTGATAACTGTTAGTTCTTAACATAATCGGTGACTTGGTAAAATAAAAATCTCTTGTAGAAATGCATTTGAAGAAAAATTCTAGGTAGTTTCAAAAGTTTGAAAGATATTCATAATTTTGCAGATGTGCTTAGAAACTGTCTCAATGAACTTAAGCAGCATATCATGTAAGAAGCAGAAAAACATTGCTATTCATTATCCCCAGGCTTAGACCTCATAATGAAAAAGAAAATTCATATAACAGTTAAATTTCAATAGTGAAAATAAATGCTATTTAGTCATTGTCCATGAAGCAGCTAGAACATATTTTGTGATGCTGCATTAATGTGATGATCAATTTATATATTTTATAGTATGTTAGATCTTGCACAATAAGCATTTTAATTATTTACAAAGTATTATCTATGTTAAACATTTCATGTGGCAAAGTATTGTCTATAAATGGCAAAGTATTATCTATGTTAAACATTTCAAGGAAAACTTTTTTTAACTATCATTAAAGGAACTGCATTAACAAAATGGGATGAGCATAAAAAATTATGTGTTTAAAACCAATCTTAAGGAGTTTTTTTTTTAATAATAATAATAATAATATATACAGTGGTGGCCAAAATTGTGGACACTTTCGGAAATTTTTATGTTTTTGAACTTTGTATGATTATAGAAAATGTTACGTTCTGAAAAATGAAAACTTGTATATATCACTTTAAAGAGAATTTATTACTGAATTCAATACAAAACACAAAATTCAATTATTTGCAATACAAAAATGTTATATGTACTTTAATATAAATAAAAAACACAGTTATGAAATGGTTTGTAATGTCTAGCTTTCCTGGCCAATGACTGTTCTTGTTCTGAGAACCAATCAAATGTTAGTAACTGCCAGTAGAAGCTGACATCATGTTTACACTTGAAACAATTCATTATTTTGCTTTTCTGTAGAAGGAGGACCTGTTTCTTATACACTGCAATTACAAGTAGGAATTTTTGTAAAAATTTTTAATAATTAGTCATGAAGCAACGACATCAAATAAAAGAGTAGATTGGACACCTAGAAAGAGATGTAATATTATTGTGTTACGAGAAAGTGGTCTTTCCTATGCTGAAATTGCAAGACAGGTGGGTGGTTCAGTGACTACATCTGGAGTCCGAAAGTTTTGTTTACGATATCAGGAGACGAATTCAATAAAAAACAAAGAAGGAAAAGGCCGAAAAAGGTGCACCACATCTAATGATGACAGAAGAATAAAAAGACTATGTCTCCGAGATAGAAAAATGTCATCTGAATGATGCTGATGTTTCTGTCAGTTCAAGAACAATCAGGAGAAGATTAACAGATGTTAGACTGAGAGGTAGATTTCCACGAAAGAAGCCTTATCTTAATTTTCAGCAACTAAAAAAAAAGACTACAGTGGGCAAAGGAAAACATTAATTGGACAGATGATCAGTGGTCACAAGTTATATGGAGTGATGAAACTAAGATATCTTTATTCGGTAGTGATGGGCGAAAATATGTAAGACGTAGAATAGGAGAAAAGCTACATCCTGACTGCATTCAAGCAACTGTGAAGAAGCCAGTTAGTGTTATGATTTAGTCATGCATGTCAGCAGATGGTATTGGTCGCCTTCATGTCATCGATGGGACACTGAATGCCAGAAAATACATTGACACTATTCTAGAACCAAAACTTCTACCTTCCATCAGAGATCTCTTTCCCAACAATGCTTCGTTTATTTTTCAGCAGGATTCTGCTCCTTGCCACATGGCCAAAATATCGAAAGAGTGGTTTCGTACAAAGAGCATTAAATTGTTGTCATGGCCAAGAAACAGCTTTGACCTCAATCCTATCGAAAATTTGTGGTACCGTTTGAAAACTCTTGTCCGACTGAGGTTCCCATCAAATAAAAGGGAACTAATTGAGGCTGTAATTGTTTCCTGGCATCATGTAATAACGAAAGAAGAGTTTAACACTCTTGTTAGCTCAATGAAACATCGATGTGAAGCTGTAATAAAAAATAAAGGGTACTCTACTAAGTACTGATAACTCACTGCAATCATCACTATCTAATGTATATCGATAACTATTATCATTTAACTTTTTTGTATTGAATTTAGTAATAAATTCTCTTTAAAATGATATATACAAGTTTGCATTTTGTGAAAATGTAACATTTTCTATAAGCATACAAAGTTCAAAAACATAAAAATTTACAAAAGTGTCCACAATTTTGGCCACCACTGTATATATATATATATATATACAGGGTGTCTGAATCAAATGTACCTATTTTGAACAGTTGATTAAAAACCAAGTTTTAGCGCTACAAGGGCGATATTGGCCACATATGGAAGCTGAATTCATAGAGTTTGGTGACGATATTTTTTCTCACATCTAATGCACCTGCACTTTTGCTGAACCGACAAACAGAAAAATGGTGTGACTGCAAGAGAATTCACAAATTATTCTCTAGTGTGCAGAACACAAATCCGTGGTAAAAGCGCAGAGAAAGTTTCAGGCAGTTTATAAAAGAAATCCACCCCAAGCTAAGGGCATGTAAAAGTGGCACAAAATGTTCCTTGAAATGGGAAGTGTCTGGGAAAGATCCGGAGGTGATCGGCTTTCACATTCTGATTCATGTGTGGAAGATGTTCGACAAGCTTTCAGTTGGAGCCCTTGTCAGTTGATCAGGCAAGCAGCTTCCTGAATTATCTATATCATGATCAACTATTCATGATGTGCTGCATCAAAAACTGAGGTTGCATGCATATAAAATGAAGATTGTGCAGAAATTGCGACCAAATGATGGGCTTCAACAGGCAGCACTTGCTGTGGAAATGTTATCTCGCATCGAAAATGAACACGATTTTCTAAACCGCATTTCTTTTTTCAGAAAAAGCTACATTTCATGTTAGCAACAACGTTAATTAGCACAACTACAGAATTTGGGGCTCAGAAAACTCCCATTTACTACACGAATTGGAATGGAGCAGCTTAAAAATCAGTGTCTGGTGTGCTCTGCCACATGATAGAGTCATAGGACCATTTTTCTTTGCTGAGATGTCTATGATGGCAAACATTTACCTGGGCATGTTACAAATTTACACAATACCCCAAATGCAGCATATACAACCCACTGTAATCTTCCAACAAGATGGGGCCCCTCCTCACTGGGGAAGTATGTTTGTGCATTTAGATACAACTTTCCCTAACCGATGGATAGGATGTGGTGGCCCAATTGCCTGGCCACCAACATCTCCTGACGTGACACCTCTCGGTTTCTTCTTTTGGAGCTATGTGAAAGACAGTCTACTCATGGAACATCCATGACATTGAAGACATTCATGCGTCCATAAATGCATCTAATGCTACTGCGACTCCTGAAATGCTACACTGGACATGGCTGGAACTGGATTACCGGCTGGACGTTTTTAGGGCTACTAAGGGAGCTCATATGGAATTGTACTGATTGTTTAATAAAAACTTTGTGAATATTAGTATCTAATTTTTGTTGGCTTTAAGTTTTCCTTATGCAAACTTTTACCGGAGGGCAATCGGTGGTAAGCTAACGTTGTTGCCGCTGATTGGCCGATGACGTCAAGATCGGCGGGTTGGCCGAGTATATATATCTTTACCATGATGCATACATATCTTTAAATAGGGCTTCTCCTTGATGTACAGGTGGAATGCTTGGGAGATGGATGCTAAAATAAACGTATCATTTTGTATTCGAAATTTTGTTTCATTTCTGTTCTGTCGATTGCACATCAATAATGTATGAGAATCTACGTTACATATATATATATATATATATATATACATATTTCTAATAATACTGTATTTTAATGTGTATATATATATAATATATACAATTACTTAATTTTAATAGATATTTAATTATATATGAGTACTAAAATACAGTATTTGCCAGTCACTAAAATAGTATCCAATTTAAGCATGTTTGAGTTATTAAGTGGCTGAGTGATGCTGATTTGTGCATTGCAAATCATGATATAAGTTTTTGTATTTTAATGTGTATATATATATATACAGTTAATTAATTTTAATAGATATTTAATATATATATGAATACTAAAATACAGTATTTGCCAGTCACTAAAATTGCTTCCAGTTTAAGCATGTTTGAGTTTATTAAGTGGCTGAGTGATGCTGATTTGTGCATTGCAAATCATGATATCAGTTTTAAACTTTTCTAGTAAAATAATAACTCGCAACTAATTCAATAATTTATCCTAAAATAATAAAAAAAATTAATGCTAAAATTAAACTAGTTATGCAATTTCAAAATACATTTTTTTCATTTTCTGAAACATTATTTTAATAATTACATTCTTATATGAAATTTAATGTCTTGCAAAAACTTAATTTCATATTCAATAACCATTATTCAATTGTATTCACAATTTTAGTTTAAGCCAAGTAGCTAGGTAGCTTAAGCCGTATTCTGTCAATAAAAATAGCTTTTACTCATTTAAATTATCTATTATATATTTTGGAATTTATAAAATGAGTTCAAATGGGAAAAAAATCAAAATTGAATATTAAAGGAAGAAACAGTACTTGCATTGTATCAAATCTGATACAGTGTGTGATGAAGCTTTAAAATGTTTGGAATTAAAATAAATATCAGTAACTTTAAATAGAGAAGTTATTGGTTTTATCTAAGTAAAATTGACGTAAATATTACAAGGTTTAATTAGTATTTGGAAAATTATTTTGACTTTATCTGTGTCAGTTTTTGGTTATTTTTACTGAAGTAAAAAAAAAAAAAACCTTCTAGAATTCTAAATATTTTTTTATATTTGTTATTAGGTTGGCATCAGTAAGCAAGTGGAGAAGCTGTTTGAAATTCTTCCAAAAAAAAGTTCAGAATGTTTCAATTCTTTCATTGAAGTTTTAGAAGAAGAAGATGAAACAGGTGCTTCATATTATCCTTGGTTAGCAGAGCATTTGAGACATAAAAATGACAATCTAAAGAAAAATGTCTATGACCAGCTTATAAATGGTGGTATACCATTTCCAGTTAATTATGTTCTTCACAGAGAAAAAAAATTAGAGGATGTACGTCAGTTTTTGATTGAAGCTTCCAAGTTGAAGCGACATTGGATTGTACTTTATGGCATGCCTGGAACAGGAAAATCTGTTTTAGCTGCTGAAGCAATTCGAGATAATGATATAGTTGAAAATTATTTCCCAGGGGGTGTATATTGGCTGCAAATTGGAAACTTAAGAAATGATGATAATGCTCTTTGGCTTAAAATGAAGAAGTTGTTTACACTTCTTCGTATTGAAAAGGAGCTTTGTCCAAGTGAGAGTTTAAGTGAATTAACAGAGTTATTAAAGAGAGAAATTAATGACAGAAATCAAACACTACTCTTGATTCTTGATGATGTGTGGTCTAATACTGTTATAAAAGCCTTTGATATAGGATGTCCTATACTAGTAACAACAAAAGATAAAACTATAATGCAGAAATTGTCACAGTTTTGTTCACCCATGGAATTACGCAATGATTTATTGCTTCAGGAAGGCAGAGATTTGCTATCAATGTATGTAAAATGTGAACCTAGTCAGTTGCCTAAAACTGTAAATAATATTTTTTCAAAAACTAAAGGTATGTGTATTGCTTTCCCAATTTTTCTCTTTTTAGCAATATCGTAAACTTTATTTCCTTGGAATTCATATCACAGTGGAAGCTTTGATATGAATTATTGTTTTCTGTTGTTTATTCACAAATTTGTCAGTTGCCAAAAAATGTAAATAATATTTTTTCAAAAATTAAAAATATATATATTGCTTTCTCAATTTTTCACTTTATAACAATCTTGTAAGCTTTGATTCCTTGGAATCCATTTCTGAATAGAAGCTTGATCTATCATTTAATATGGTTAATTGTTTATTCACAATTGTTGGTAATTGAAAGAATTAACATGGAAAAAACTTGCTTAGAGTTGGTGTCTTATAGGTTTTATGCTATGAGTTTATTTATTTGAGTTGGTTTATTTTTTTAGCACAAGTAATTATTTTTTTTTAAGTTTCAGAATGTGGAAACTGTGGAAATTTAAAATAAAAAATACTTTCTTGGTAACTGTACACAAGTCCTTATGCATAATTGTGAAATTTGTATAAAAGTCTGTGCAACCTTTGATGCAACCATTGATGATAGGCATATACTTCTAATTACAGAAATGCTGTAAATGAAGAAAATATTCATATTGTCACATTTTAAAACTTAATGAATTTTGTAAGAATTAAAAAAAATAACTTTTTCTTTGATTTTCTGATCTTAGTAGTTACGTTTAGTGGATCTCAGTAATTCTTATAGCTTTTCTAAAAAATGTAATGCAAAAGTGTGATTCTGTGATGAAAACTGGCTGAGATAATTAATATTTGAGATCATTTTCGGGGTTTTAAATGGATCGAAGAGTGAAATATTTAAATTTGTATATAACTAATAATGAAACATTAATTTAGAAAAGGTTTTTATGTTAATAGATTGAGTGACAAGTATTGCTGTACAAACTGTTGTGAAACATTTTGATCAGTATAAATTTTTCCAGAAGGGAGATCTTATTCGCAGAATTCATGTTCTAAAAAATGCAGTACAAGCGGTTAGTTCTTAACATTATTTGCAGAAATTAAAAGTAAAAAATATTCCTGATCTTTTTTATCCCAAAAGGGCTATTCATATCAAAATGTGATCCTGTTTCATCTGCTGTAATTCATTGCTCCACTTTTCGGAGTCTGTTGCCGTTCTGCGAAATGCATAATATTTATCTTTCAAATTTAATCTGTTTATTATTGATTAACAAACTAAGCTATTTAAATGCAGTAGATGCAGTTCTTAAGAGTATTCCTTTTTTTACTTTTTAATCTAATTGCTTTAAAATTGCATTTAATTCATGGTGTATCTGATTAAAAGTATTTAATATTTCCATAAAGTTATGGTTTTTTTTTTACATGCAAAATTATATAACGTTCCCAGTCTAGCATTAGTCTAAATGTATATTTCATGGTAGTATCCTGTAAAATGTGTTTTTGTTCCATTTGGACTGTTAGTATTGATAAGCCAAATGCAATAAAACTGTGAATTAAAGATTGTTTCACACTAATAAATCATAAAGGAATATCACTGAATGATATTAAATGCAAAAAAAAAAGTAATTTCAAATTATTCAGTTTATTAAGCAATCTTTTAAAAAGATGCCAGAAATCCCAAATTTTGAAATTAAATATCCTGATGAATTTTTGTTGTAAGGAAGTAAAAATTTATGCATTTTTTTATAACAAGTATGTATTTATGTTAAATATAACTATAGAGATAGGAAGACTCTCTAAAAAGTTACATTTTATATTTTTTACAAAATGGAATTTTAAAATTTTAAAAATGCTAAGATATTAATAGTTGTTTCATTTAAAGCATTTTTGTAACTGGAAATATATGTCTTTGTCCAATGGTTGCTAAAGTAAGCTCTGCATAATAATTTTTATGGTCTCATTATTTAATAGCATTCTAGAGATTATGTAAGCTTTTCACAATTTTTTATCCTTCTGAAATGCTTGAAATAATAAGAGGTAACCAAAAAAGTTCTTGCCATTTCTGATATGATGTTGGAAGAGTGAACCCCAACATAAAAATAGTCACCAAATCTGACAATGAAGTTGTTAGGATGGGAGTCTGGACATTGACCAAGAGTATAAAAGTGCGTTGCTTTGGTACTCCAAACATAACTTTCACAGCGACTGATTGAAATGGACTTATTAGGATAAAGGAGCTTATTAGGATTTTTTTGCTGTATTATTTTTAAGTGGGCCTGTCAGCAGCAGAATCAAGTCACCGAATTTGCCAGGCCTTTGTAGATGATGCTTTTAACAAACAAACTGCTAGGCAGTGGTTATAGAAGTTCAGGTCAGGTGATATGTCTCTTAGTGATGCACCATGTAGCGGTTGGCCACAAGCACTGGACATTGAGGCCCTGAGAGCAGCTATAGAGAGTGACGGTAGCTAAACATGTGATTAACTTGCTGTACACTTCCAGATATCTGAGAAACAATCAGACTCCATTTGCACTGTATAGGAAAGGCATACAAGCTGAGAAAGTGAGTACCCCACTCACTGTCCGATTCAAATAAGCAACAGTGTGTCGCTGCCTGTTTGTCATTGCTTACTTGGCACCACAATGTATCCATATTTGATCGAGTACTCAGCGATGAAAAGTGGGTCCAGTATGACATACCCAGGCGTTCCAGACATTAGTTGTCACCACGGCACCCTGTGCCTCACACTGCGAAACCTTCTCTCCACCCACGCAAGATCATGCTCTGTATCTGGTGGACTAGTCACCAAGTGGCACACTATGAGCTTCTGCCATTGGGCCAAACCATCACGACAGGCCTGTACTCATAGCAGTTGGAACATTAGCATCAGGCACTGAGCCAACAAGTACTATAAGAGCCGACATTTTTCAATACTCACCAGCGATGAAAAGTGGGTCCAGTATGACATACCCAGACATTCCAGACGTTAGTTGTCACCAAGCAATATTGTCATTAGTTAGCATTAGTACCACTGATGACATTTGTTGACACCAAGCACATAAGTTGTCATCAAGCACAGAGTCCCATGGGTGTATTCCTCCTCCATGACAATGCAACTCGGCTCGGTACAAATGTGGCTCGGGAGGTCAGGGAAACCATCTAGCGACTGGGCTGGGAGACACTACTCCATCCACCATACTCCCCAGACCATGCACCAACAGACTACCTCCTTTTCCATTCCCTGGAAAACCATTTTTGTGAGAAATCCTTCAACAATTGGCCAGACCTCGAAAAGGCCCTCACAGACTTCTTTTCATCTAAGACTCCTCAGTTTTACTGCAATGGCATCGCATAGCTACCGCTTGTTGGCAAAAGGCACTGGATGCCGATGGTGATTGCTTTGAGGATTAGCAATGATTATTATTTGTTTTGTGATTTTTTTTCTTTCTGACTGTCCAAAACATCAAAAACGTTTTTGGTTACCTTGCAGTTATCATGTTCTAGGGAATCTCTATTAAATATTTCATTTGATAAGTTTATTTATTCATGTTTGTTGTGGAACTGGTAGTATGTCTCGTGGTCTTAATCTTGAGAAAGGCAGATGTTAGGTATTTAACAAATCTACATATTGATAGCATAAAACTAAATGATAAATATTGATAACAATTATAATATCAGCTTTTTGCAGAAGAAATGGGGAAAAAATACTGTGTGCAAAACTTAAGCAACAAATTCATTTTCAAGTTACAACCATAAAATTCTTGAAAAGTGCTTTTTGCGATCAGTACAATGAAGACTGTTGTTTCACGAGCTTGGAAAACCTTCCAAATGACAGGTATAACAGTAAGAATGTTTATTAGTATCAGGCAAGGAAAATAGCATTGATTGATGACCTGTATATTGCTTTGTAGGCTAAAAGACATCAAAAACAAACAGCAGATAACATTCCTGAATAGTTGCACATGGCAGCTAGATGACAGGTATCCCACTTTACTGTGACCAGATGTCATAAAGGTGGCCTATTCTCCGACCATCCTGAACTCTGCATACAGTCAATAGCAGCCCATCAGTGGCACTATTTACAATGTTGTAGAAAATACAGAGACTGGACATCTCATCAATGGAGTCCCATGTTCTTTATCAGAGACAGTTGTTTCAGTCGGATAAACAAATATCCGCGCTAGTGGATAGGTGGAGAGGTAGAGACATGCTTTTTAAAAAAGCAATAAAAGAAGCATTAGAGTACTTGGCAGTGACAACCAGACAGTGAGAGAGCTCATTTGGTGAAAACACATCATTGAAAGAATCTAATTTTTTTTTTTTATATAATTCTGCGAACAGAGTTGCCACGCTACCTGGAAAACCAGAAAAAGTCAGGAGATTCAAAAATTAACCAAAAAATTCAGGGAATTTAAATATGTTAGTCAAAATCTGGAAAAGTCAGGAAGTCTTCATATGGCGATCCCAAAATAAGAGCGTTTTGCACCGATGTTGGAAGCGTTCACTTTCTTGGTGAATTTTGTATCGCGTGAGCGTCATTCCGTCAACTGGCATAGAGCCAGTTTTTGCAGCTCCATGCAGCTGACGGAATGACGCTAACGCGATAACAAATTCACAGAAAGTAAAGCTTCCAACGTCGCAAAAAAGCGTTATTGCGGATATTTAGAAGGGCCAAGCAAGTTTCAGCAAACTTTGGGTTACATCACCTCGTAATTAAGAGATTCAGATAACTTATGTGATATAATTTTTTTTATATAGGGTGGCCATAATTAAACTGACAGTGCTCACAGTGTTCGGTAGCGCGATCTATTTGCGAGAATGACGCCACATTTTGTAGGAAGATTAAACAAGAGGGGATGAAGGAACACGAAAAAATTTAGTTCAAAGTCACCGCTAGGGGAATATTGGCCGCTTGTTAATAGAAATAGAGAGTCAAAAATGCAAATCAAATATGGAAATTTACTTTTATTTGCATTCAAATGAGGATCAATGTGGCTGCCGTTGTTGTTGACCACATTGATTCTGTGCACAGATGCACAACAGCAGAAAGAACAGAAAAAACTGCTGCGGAATCTC